CTCAAGGCAGAAAGGGGTGGACTGTATATCAGAGGTGCGTCTCGTGTGGTCTGTGTCCTGGGATTTTTGGAGTCAGTGAGTGAAAAGAGCTTGAAGAGCTATCCCAGGGAGAGGGGGTGGTGAGGAAACAGGCAGCAGGAACATATGGGCAGGGGGCTTGGGAATGAGGTTCCTGGAGGTTTGGTGTCAGAACACAGAGTAAGGTGAGAGTGGAGAGGGGCTACCCACCCCACTTGGGAGCCAGTGTTCTTTGATTTTCCATTAGGCCTCGTCTTGTGTGTGTCCTGATGTGGCACTGCAGGTTAATGTGCTGGACTGCAAAGTAGGTTTGAGCCGCAAGGTTGGTAGTTCAAGCTCACCAGCTGCTCCACAGGAACCCTATACAGCTTCTCTGAATTGGAACTGATTTGACGGCACTTAACGACAACAGTGTGTATAAGTTGTAGCTCTGAGTCTGTGTGTGTATAATGTGGTGTGTGTATACCTGTGGTAGTATGTGATGGGGGTGTGTGTATATGTGGGATGTTTGGGGGCATTTGCATATATACGGTGTGTGTGTGTATGAGTACATGTGTATGGTGGTGTGTTTGTGGTATCTGTGTATCTCTGATGTGTGATGTGTGTATGAGTGTGTAGTGTGTATGTGCATGGTGTCTTTTGTACATACTGTGAATATGTGAGAAATATGTATGATGTGAGTTATGTATGTATATGGTGTGTGTATGACATGGTGCATGTGTGTGTGGCATGTGTGTCTGAGGGTGGCCGTGGGGGTTTTCAGGCACAGGGAATGACGTGGTTTAGCATGTGAAACCTGGAGAATAATCCTGACTCAGATTTTGGAAAAAGCATGGAAGTCAGAGCATCTTATTCTTGGCTACTTCCCAGTTTTCACTGGGGCTATGGTATGGTTGGCATGAGGCAGAACCTCCATGCTGCCAGCCCCACCCAACATTTCCTGGTGGATATCATTTTCTGTAAGGTGGAGGGTCAGAGAAAAAGTGGAAGACCCGCAACGAGATGGACTGGCCAAGTAGCAGCATCGATGGACTCAAGTGTGGCAACTGTATTGAGGTTGGCCCATGATCAGGCAGTGTTTCATTCTGCTGTGCATAAGGTCGCTATCAGTCAGTACCGACTTGATGGCACTTAACAACAACAAACAGGTGTCAGCAGGGCTTCCAGACTAAGACAGACTAGGAAGAAAGACCTGGCAGTCTACTTTTGAACATCAGTCAGTGAAAACTCCACAGATTACAATGGATCAATCTGCACCAAGGGGATGGCTTGTGACAGGACATGAGTTGGAAGGGACTCAACAGCAGCTAGCAACATCACTGGGGACTGGATAGAGAGGACCACTGTGCTAGGAGCACTGAGTTGCTATTCAGCAACGCAAAAGTCTTGGAAAGGAAGAATGGTGACAGCCACACACCCTGGCCAATATAACCAATACCTCTGAGCCACATACTCAGAATGGCTAAAATGGCAGAACTTGACCACATACACCTTAACACAGGGAAGAATAAACATTTGCAGACATTAAATCAAATGGTTCTACTTTGATCTTTTTTACCTTGAGGTAATCAATCCATCGCATGTTGTGAAGACTCTTTCCCTGAATTCCTAAACAAGTGGCACACACATACACACAACAGCCACACAAGAGGCAAGATACAGAAAGTTTATATGCACAATCACTTAATGCTCATGAAGCAGGTCACCCTTTTATTTTCCTGATTAAACAACTGAGATTCAGAAAATATCTGACTCTTGGGAGGGAAGACAGCAGATGAGCAGCTCTGAGTCATTTGCCATCTCTAGAAAATATTTCTTCCTACTTTAGGGACCTCTCATTTTTTTCTTGTTTTCAAGATCATTATTGTTGTTAAGTACCGTCAAGTAGGTTCTGACTCATCGCAAACTTACAGAGCTTCTGAGCCTGTGCATCTTCACAGGAACAAAAGCCTCCTCTTTCTCCGGTGGAGAGTCTGGTAAGTTTGAACCTCCTACTTTGTGGTTCCCAGTCCAGTGGTTGTATGTTTCCTTACAAAATCTATTGTTTCCCTCTGACAAGCCCATCTTCTGATTTTCTGACCTCCCCTAGAAGAATTCAGTGACTGCCTGGTCCTCTGTATTATCATCTGGTGGTGACTATAGTTTACTGGGTTAGCAGTGACCACTTGGCTACTTTGAGATTCATTATTTCAACCATCTGGAAACAAATGGAGGTTTTGAATGAAGTGATGAATGCAAGTTTGTCGAGAGCAAGAACTCATTGTTCAGCCATTATTACATACAAAAATACATCTGGACAAACATCTGTGAAGATCCCACTGTGCCCTGGAAGCTGGTGAAGAGGCACATTTATAATAGCAGCTCCTTAAGGCAGAGCAGAACCAGGGGGCTCCTACCATCCAAGTACCACCAGAGAAGGCTCTATGCAGTTCTGGTGCATTAGAGCCAGACTTTGAAGAAGAGCTCATTCCTGAAGTGGGTCTGGAAGGCAGAGGAAATCACAACAGGAAAGCTGATGAGGCTTCACTGAAGGATTTGTACCAAAGGCTGCATACTCGACGAAAGAACTTCACTCAAATACTTAGGAGTCACTGAAGGAGTTTGGCACAGAAGAGATGGTGCACACTCTGCATCTGCCTATGGGAGGAGGGGGATAGGAAGGAAGGTTCTGATGGTAGCAAGGAGGAAGCAAATATTCCTAAAACAATCAGGGCTCTGAAGGCACACTAGCCTTTCGAAACTAGCTCTGAAGGCAATGCCAGCCTCCCCTTATTATGATTCCCCTTTCCTTCTTCTTTCCCCCTTGAAGGGA